ATGTGCCTACACTTGGTTGGTCAGATACGTCGTATGTTTGTTAGTCATCTACACTCCACGACAAAATGTAATGGGCGTGTCACCGTTCGGAGTTAAGGATATAGATGATAGAAGGAGGTCAGCAAATGAACTCTGCGACGATTTGCCAACCTAGGGCGTCAACCTCAGAAGGAATGTAGGCGTACTGCTGTAAGTCCCACAATTCTTCCGGGATATTTCGTCAAGGCGGAATCCAAAACACTTGACGTATTGATTGTACATATGTTTGTGTTTAGTAATTGAGTGGGTTCCGATTCATTTAATTGTTAGTTAATTTTATATTTGCCGCACTGCATGAATCATCTTGAATTAATATTGTAAGTACTTCTGAAGCCATTTTTAGTCTTCTAAACTTGTGAAAAAATCGAGTAGTGTTAGAGTCAGTGTATGCGATTTGATATGCCGGGTAGGGGATTGTGCCAGAGTGATATAAAGCAACCAACACTTCATGAACTAAATCAGTGGTGGCACTGTCGTCAGAGAGTGAAGATCTCACGCACCGGGCAGAGCGTGTCGGTGTGATGTGGTTTGCTTATTGTGTGTTAGGCTTTTCGTCTTGCTTTTCCATTTTAGCCTAGTCCCGGTTGACCCAGGTTCCCACGTTGGCGGCTTAGTTCAAGGTTATCAGCGCAGTGGAAAAAAAGGATGGGCCTTTTTATTGCTGGGGAGTGTCAATGGACGTAAACATCGAACGCATGTTTATTGGAACTGGTAGCCATTGGTGGGCAACTCGGGGACGCGAATGGTTGAATCGCGTACAAGTTCGAAGAAGACGAAGGAACACGAATAAAATTACAGCATGCTTATTGTAAAACATTTGTTTACAAAATATGTACTAAACTCGATTTTAATTGCCAAATAATATAACTTCCTTCCTACAACCTCTGGAGTTTTGGAGTTAAGGTCGAGAATCAGTCGTATTAGTTATCGGTTCGGAGCGTCTTCGTAACAATAGGACTTAGGGTCAAGTTCCTTGATAGATGGTGTGGAAACTGAGGTTTACACTATTTGAAATTTTACGTGACTTGGCATACACTTTATCCGTTCTTTCAATATAAAGAAATAGTACGACTACAAAGAGGTAAGAATGAGAAACTGCTGTCTTGTAAGGATGGGTAAAAGCGTACCGGACACTATTGCTGCGTTGAACAAAACCATCCATGAATTACATTTACACCTAAATAAAGGGGCATGTACAAGAGTTTCGCAAGATCAACCTCAGGTGGTGGCAGTTCACACCAATATAACCAACAGTCATCAGATAATTGTGACAGACATGGTCAGGTTATAGTGATTCACAGCCTGTCACTAAGTGTCTTCCATTCTTAATAGACTCTATGCCTATAATAACTCCGTCTAAATAAAATCACATAAGGTCAGACCACAAAATTTCGACGTGATACACATTATCTCTTCCACCTGTAAATAAAAAGTTTTTCAGTGCGGTAGTGTTGCCGAAACCTTAATAGCACATCAGGTTCCAAAAGCCCATCACTGCCTTGTTTCACCATCTTCATGCAAAATCAGGCATCTCTTAGTAGAGAAGACAATCTAAATGCAGTCAAAGCGTTCCCATGATTGTTGATATACAATTAGGATAGGAACCTCACAAAACAACTATGCTGAACGAAAATTTTTAAACTGTCCCTGTAGATTACAATCATTCTAACCTCCCATATTCAACCTGAGAAACAGAAAGAATATGACACAAATGAGCATCATGGTCACACGTGCGTCAAAAAGTTGTCTCAGAGGTATGGGAAAGCTATTCTACCAATAAAGGGTTTCAAAATAGTTGAAGATTGAACGATCGATTCATGGTTGCTTGCTCAAACCCAACTCTCCCATATTTTTCGCGGGAGTCACCAATCCAGCAGTCATCGTTTCATCGTTCGCTGTTCAGTGGAAGACGGAAAACTATCAGAAGTATTATCGTGATTTATTGTTATAACATTTATTCTTATACATTGTGTATAATAACCTCATTGTTTGTTGCATATTGGAGTAAGAATAAAGGATTCTCGAGTCGCCAATCTGTGTTCTGGTATTTCGCGTTGGTTATTACACATTGTTTCCGAAATTATTCCAGGGACAGCGTGAGGTTCAGCGAAGTAAGAGCTTGACACTGACAGTTTCTGAGAGTTGACCGACAAAGGGTCTTTTACTTAAGTAAATTCATGAAAAATGTCGACGACTAACTAAAATTCATTTCCAGAGCAGAAACTCACAGGTGATAGCTTGTAATAGTTTCTGTTACCTGTTGCCTCATATCTCGACCTCCTGTTGAACAGACGCGTTCTAAAAATCTCTTTTGTTCAACGAAACGACGCTGGCGGACCAACGAGCCGATTTTATCATTTTCAGCTAATATACCACAGGGATATGTGGTATGTGTAAGCTGTGTCATGTGTAGAACTAATAAAAATGTTTCCATATCTGTAGATACTTCACAGTGTTTAAGGAACACAAGAATTGCAGTTACCTAATAATTTATGCAAACTCACGACTGCATACACTAGAATCTACCAATAATTGCATTTTTCAACTTGTTTCTTCGAAAATTAAAACAGCAAAACGACCACATAACGCCAGCCTACGTCAGCGAACGCCAGCACTGTAAACACTTCACGGAATATCACGCATGCCTCCGTAATTCGCTAACAGTACCCCACCCTTTGAGCTTAGCAAGTGCGCGTTCCCTTTGATCAACCCTCCGTTGTATGCTCACTTATAATTTTTCGTATATTCGCTTCCGCTCGATATATTTTCTAGTTTGCCCTTAGCTGCGGAACGTACACAGTTTTGAAGAACGTCATAAACAGGCTTTCCGCTAACTAGTGGTCTCCCTTACACTATCCTAATTAGCGAATCATTCATCGACGTGATTAGAAGGGTCAGTGGTATCGTGGTAGTTTCTCTGGCTGCGAATGGGAGACAATTGGTTTTGAATAATTTTCATGCGTCTAGCCTCATAACCCTATGGATATGATTTTGACTTATGGTACATTCTGACATCTAAAAGTCACAATCGCACCGCCTTCGTTAGATTTATTTTTACTTTCTAGGTGACTATGAATCGTTAGTCAGGTGTGGTCTTGTGACAGAAGGAAAGACAGACCTAAAAGTTTTGATAAACTAAATATTTTCTTGGAGACGTGGACATACTCACTTTCTTTGGTGATAAGATAATCTTTTTATCACGAAACCTTTAGTAATTCAAGGCTGTAAGTAAACGCCATGTGTGTCAGTTATTCAAAAGACAGCATTATAAGTGAACTAGTATTAGGATAACTTTTATCCGAATATATTTGAATTAGCTATGAGCATGTCGCATACTTTCAGTCGTAATTCAAGGATAACATTCTTTTACTTACCAAGATTTCAGTGTCAGGAAACTGTTGTGCCCTTGTCTTTGATATTATTTGCCCGAAGGCGTCTTCAAAGTGAGTATACCGGCCTGCTGATGCTGCCTGTAGATACGTTCATTTTTACAGTTCCATCCTCGTTCCTACTTATGAAAACATCTCCTCTTAGATTATCGACAGGCTACCAGTACTTACAAATACACATGTTTAACATTTCGCGTATAAGTGATGTTAATATCACTGTCGCTTATTTCCTGTATTAATTTTCAAAGCATGAATTGTCTGTTACCTGAGCGTCCGTGTCGACCTTAACGGATTGTTCTAGCCCTTGACTTTTTCACTAGTTCTCTTCGTTTCGTACATCCTTTGGACATGGTGCTACTGGTAATAATTACCACTAAAAAATTTATCAGGACAGCTAAAATAGAATGCATAATGACCACAATATAATTCAAAGGCAAGTAATTCTTCGAAACGTCCCACTCGATATGGGAAATGAGTCTCATCTCTCAAACTATGTGGCTCGCAACACACGCAAAAGTTAACATTCAATCCCATCAAATGGAATAACAATATGAAGAATTGGGAATGAATTTAATGACTTAGCATAGAATAAAAAACCAACGATCTTGGAAATCGGTGTCCTAGGTGAAGAACCCTATGAAGTCAACCAACCTAATGAGTAGCTAAAAAAGATTTCAAACGAGGTCTGCATAAGCACGATTACCAGCATAATAATTAATAAGTTAATGCTTTAAGAAGTACTAGAAGTCTGTTTTATTTTTTTGCAGTTACGTCGGCCAATATTTTTGACACATAAACCGGATATAGCAACTGTTCCTCACGACGCTAGATGACTGGACATTGCGTCCGTATGATCCCAGGATATTTCTGCGAATTTTCATCACGCAAATGCATTTAACGAAGTTCTAGGATAGCAGCTAATGGAGGGAAGCTCACGAAAGCAAGAACAATGACAGGGCATCGAAATGATTTACTCGTCAGATAAATTTCGTTGCGTACCTGATCATAGCAACATTTAAGCATTGACCAACTTGACGATGTTAAAATTAGCCAATGCTGATCGGCAATAATTGAGTTGTTATATGGAAGCTGAGATTTTGCAAATTCTTGCACTAAAACATTGATAAGCTATTAGCATTAGATAGCGAAACGTCAGTAAAAATAATATCGTTTTTTTCATTTATTGGGGAAAACAAAAACTTTTATGAAAACTTGTTGCGTAATTTCCGTCCGGTTATAAACGTTATTTTCGCTTACATCTGTAGATTCCTTTGGCACTTAGAAACCAAAACACCACACAAGTGTTCAGCAGCATGGATTCGGTAGCTTCCTGCACTAGTAATAGGTCATGGATATCAGCGGGTCAGAAAAACCACAGTTGAGTGCAGGTTACCTTCCTGATATGGTAATCCCCCCCCTATTTGTTTGTTTGGTTTTACCAGTAGTGTGAATGCAAGCTTTTTGAGGAGAGACTTATGCCCATAGAAGACAAATGCCTTGCTTTTGGTAATAACTGAGGATCATAGATGGTTGCGTTTAAGTTTTGCGCCTAAGGGATGAAAAATTGTTTTACTGCACCAAGTACCTGGCAGGACCTTAAAGACCGCCGTCATCCCCAGCTGTAAGTGCACGTTAAGGTACATTCGGCTTGGAGGTTAAAAATTGACTAAAGTGTAGGGCACTGTTTGGCAGTCAGTCGTATTTTCTTTCTAGATAGTCGGTACTGCTCATACAGGATGTCAACCAGCAATCGTAAATTATTGACTACAAGATTTTGAGAAATAATTATTTCTCAATCACTTTATTAATAAAGTGATTTCGAGGATATGGGATATGCACGATAGTTGCATCAAATTTCGTTGTACTTCCATCTAACTCTACTTCCGTACCTACTGGTGGTTAAGGTTTAACTTGGCCTGCAGAACTAGGTTATTTACTTGGTATTCACTGTACACTTCCCTTCCATTCTAAGGGACTAGATACATATATGCATAACAGGACAACAAGCATACCGATATGCGTTTACTGAATGAAAATATATAATGAGTACCAACACACGCTTCGTTTGTGTCGTCTCTTGTATTTGCTTTTTACTGAAAGACATAGAGTTAGATGTAACTATTGTGCATATCCCATATTCTTCAATATATCTGCTCAAGATCAGTTTACATCTCAAAAACTTACGGCCTACCACGTGCGAACTCTGGTTGATATCCTGTACGAGTAGTACCGGTGGTCTAAAAAGAAATTCCACTTGTTTGTGAAGCAGTCACACTTCAGTAAACTTCAACCATTTGTTGAAGCAGACTGTATTGAACTGCGAGTAAATGGCGTGCCGTCAATTTTCTGTAGCAAAGTACAGTCAGTAGCTGAGTGAATATTCGTGGCTTGCGTCTTCGGAGATTTTACTTAGGTTGTTGAGCACAATGGCGCGTTCACTAACCTGTGAATCAGGGTTTTTCGTTAGTTTTCGATGCAAACCAAGGGCCTTAGCTGCGTTGACAACGCAACTCTGAGTGCTCCCCCCTTAATAACAATTGCCCATACCGCAAATGGCTTGTCTGAAAAGCACGACAGAAGGGTCACAATAAACGAGGTGGTCCAGGTGAGCCAGTTCTAAATTCTTGCTTTTTTATTTTTCACAAGCCATTCTTATTATTGTTAGACTAATTAATAGTGTACGTTGTGCTTTTGATTCTTAGTGGACATCAGCTAGGAGTCCCTACACCAAGCCTTCGTCTAGGAGGCCTGACTTCTCTGCGAATTGAACACCTGAAGTGACGAACATGGTTAGCTTACATCTCGTCACAGAACGATTTCCCTGTGTACATTCATTTTGTGTCTGCGATGTACTAAAATGGGGTGTTATACTGAGTGTTGAGTTTTGTTTAGTAAATCCCCAATTTTTGTTTAAGGTAACTAGGCCATATTGGGGATTTTCGGTCTGGAAAGTCGTTTGACACCCACTCGAACTTGCATTCTTCCAACAGAGGGAAGTTTTATGGTACTCTTGAATCCGCACCTGGCTTAAATAAGACCAATTTATCTCCTTTTGCTTCAGGAATATAAATTTTAAACTGTATTTTCGCAGAGTACTCATCCCTTGTCAACCTTAATTAGATGCATTTATACACTTGATGTTATAGAATGGACTGATAATGCCATCAGCATCCGCGTGGTTATTCTCTAAACTCCTTGTTAAGAAATATGTATTACTCCATCTGCACATAAACTATCTCACCTTAAAGCTTACCCGGACAGTTTCCTTCCCATTACTTCGTGTAGACTGCTCCTTGGACGCGTTTAATGAGTCCCAGGGGTTTCTCTTTCTTATTCTGCATCCGTCTGGTAAGTGAAAAGGCAGTCTAATGATAGACCTAAAGCAGCGTTTGTCCTACCTATTGTATCACATTAGTTACAAACCGTTCTCTTCGACTACACAAACGCTCACTTCTGCTCAAGGGTTGGCCCCAGAAATGACCTGATACGGCTGAGTGTGGATAGACTTTGGCGCTTTTCCGAAAATTATCCTGTGTCCACGTGTTCATAGCCATGGTTAGGTAAGCTGTATTCATTGCCCGCACGCGCTTAGTGTTGCACACTAAAGGGAAAGGGTGAATGCGGACGTCTACTGCTTACAACCGGTCTGTTGGACATGATATGCTGGTCTACATAGGAGTGCTAGAAAACCGGCTCTTTAATATTCTACCGAAATTGTAATTCTTCCACTGGTTAACTGAAAATGAACACAAATTTCGTTGGACAACTGAGTGCCATGAAACTTTTCATACGCTTTAGACGTTTAACTTCCTCTCTGTACTAGCCACTTCGAAAGCTTCTCTGAAGCCCGTCCGTCCGGCCTAGATACGGACCCTTCAGATAATATGGGCCGTTCCGTCTCACCCGCGGCCTTGGGGACACCCTGGAGTGATTAATTACACCAGCCAGACACGCTTTTCCACAACTCATCACAAAATGTTAACACTTGTAAGTTTTAGTTACCACCGTTGACGTAGGTGACTATGCTTCATTTTAAGCAGCTAACCGGTGGAATATTCATGCACACCAGCTAAATTGCAACCGCGACACGACTAGATTTTCTCCAGCACATCCGCTTTTTGGTAGTGAATTACCTTAATTATGTAGGATTTAGACACTATTGGTCCCGTTCGAGATTGAAGTACACTTAATATTTAAGGATGATTCGTGCAAATATTGCAGCTGTATGTTGAAATGCAAGCGTGTATGCACTGTCTGCGGGTAATTACTAAAAGATGAACCGTCGTTGGTTAGCCTACGTAGGTAATATATATACCAAGAGACTGTAATATTTTATACTGACCGAATGCACTCAGACAACGCCTTCTTCCTCCGACGGATATAGTTGTAACATGTTCCGAATAATATATGTACTGTATTATTGTGATATTACTGAAATTCTTTGTTTTGATTTTCAGGTACTGTTCATATGAATGTGATGGATCTATCTCTGTGAACGAACTTCACATAAATGAATAAATCATAAACCTGTACCTCAATTTTCGGACCTCAAATATGTATTTTGCTTGTTTTTGTAATATATCTTTCTCAAATTCCAGACTTCGTCTTCTTTTTCCAAGGTAGGTCCTTCAGAACAAATATGCGGTGGTTGTTTGTTCAGTGTCTGTCCTCTTTTTATATAAAGGTGAAACTTCCCCTAGTTCCTAACGTCCTTCCGATAGAATGACGTGTCATTTAACGTTACTTGTTTATTATTAACTACTTACTCTCATTTGATCATAAGGGAATATGTGCACTAAAAGACGATGGATGTGAACAGAACTTTTGAGTCCGTGCCGTTCACTCGTGAATTAGAATAATGTGTAATGACTAGTCTAATAAAATTGTGACTTTTGGGGTCACATATCAGTTAATCATTCCAGACTGGAAATGACGCTCTATGTGTTATGGAAAATTCATCTTTGTCAAGAATGTAACACGATAAGTAAGATATTCTGACTAAAGGTTAGGCAAAAATAATTGATTGCTTTAAAGAAGATGGTTTTACACCTCAAAACATGGTGATACTCAGAGAAAACAATTCTACTATTTCCGTGAAACTTTTGGCCATAAGTGTAAATACCTTTCAATTACACTGATCACCAAATTTCGTGTGATAGCACTTAGTACACGATAAGGCACAGGACAATGGTAATTTTCGTGTTCTTTATCCGTATAACTGATATTCCACCTAAAGAAGGGCACATTATCAACATCTGTGTTTTGATAGTCCTATGACCAGAAGCTCTTTTCAGTATCGGTCTTTTGTGCTTTTATGTCCACAATGTTACTATGCTATGCAAATGTATTCCGTCAGAATTTTTTAAAAAGAAAAGTTGTTACAAAGCTAAAATGAGTGTATTTCAACTTAAACATTTTAGATGATACTTCCATCGTCTTTACCCAAGCGTAAAAAAGCTGAAAAAGATTTATTTCAAAACTCAAACACCGTAGAACCGGATGAGTTCATATGCAAGGTGCGCAATAAGTTATTATTCTTACTTTCAGTTAGTGAAATCTTGTGGTAACTATATGTTTTCTTCGCTGACGGAGCAAGGTGAAGAAGTTTTCATATCCATTCCAGAACGTTATCGCAATGCATTCTATTTTACGCAAGGTGACTTTGTTATTTGTTCCCCGCTGAATAATAAGAAAGTCAAAGGTGAAATTCGTGCTATATTACAAAAGGATGATATCAAGTCGTTGATGAATTCTGGGCGATGGTGAGTTTTTTGAGCTTAGCAAATTTTTATGGCTGTGTACTTTAGATTTTAAATGAAGTAATCATAAACATTTTTACAACGAATGTCCTGGTTTAATAGGTATTTTTTAGAGCTAAGAACTAGTAAAGTCACGTGACAACCAAATGCTTGCATTAGTTTCTATCAAGTTTGGCACATATATTCGTCTATGGACTTGTCTTTTAGGTCCCAAAACAAAATGTCTCAACCCATTGTTGAAAGCTTCCATATAGTTCTTTGTTCATAAAACTTACTGTTAAGAAAAAAGCACATGATCGCAGTTCTTCAGTTATATTAATATATATATATATATATATATATATATATATATATATATATATATATATATATATATATATATACATTCAAATAAACGATCAAGGCGTAATCACCAGAGACAGTCAAATGAAGCAATGTGCTAGTCAGCGTCTGAAAAGACATTGTTTGGCTTATTAAGCATCATTTAAAAATACCGTAATATAGGAAATCACCCAAGAGTAGGTGAAAAATGCCTTGTAACGATAATGAATAATGCACGGGAGAGAAAATAGTTGATAGTGGACTATTAAGCATTCTGAGAATGTGCAAAATGTCTGGTAATAAGTACATCTGGGCTTTTGCGAAGATTTCTTAGTCATGTTACTGTGTTGAATGGTATAATATTGTGGTTAGGTTTAGAGTGTTAGGTAAGGAGCACAAGCCAACCGAAGCAGTTGTGCAGCTACTTTAGTTGAGATTGCATACCGAGTTATCGCCTTCGCTTAGCAATGTTAACTGGCATAGTGTTAAGTTGGAAAACGATTACGGATGACCAAATCAAAACTAGGTGTCAATCCATAAGGTATGTGATTGGTTAGTGCGATTATAGCAGGAAGATATGTCCACTTTCCTGCGAACTGGGATAGCCCCAATGGAAGCCTCTCAGATCCTCATATACTAACCAATGTCCCAACTAATCTAGATGATAATTCCTTACCAACATTAATAAATGCCCGTGGAGTCACACCATCAGATCCTACCTATGTTGCATCTATAGGCTGCATCTATAGTTTTGTCTTCAATCTTGAGCACAGTGTTTCCAATCATCTTTAATGCATGTCTTGATGAGCCTATTCACTGGTCAGTATTTAATTATTAAATTGAGGCATAGTTTTCATAAACGTATTGCACCGAAGCAATAATCTTAAGTTATTTACTTTAAACTCTTCCTAATCATTTCGGTTCTAAATGAAAATTTGCATTTTTTGATTTAATTCTGAATGACACTAAACTCTCTAACTGCGTCCCGTTAAATATGTCTTGAATAACCAATATAAGTGGAATTATAGCTAACCGTTTAGAAAAAAATTCGTGAACGAACCCAAAAACGTATTCCTGATGGAGTACTATCAGAAGATGGTTTAATATAGTGTGAACTAAGCGTCGAAACAATTCAGCTGGATTATCCTCTGTTCTCTCTAAACACATCCTTCATCATATGATAATTATGTTGTAATCTTTTTGTCTTCCTATGGATAAATGTTTATTAACAGTATTGATTTATGCAATAGGTTTAAATAACTGATGTGTTTAAGTGTTGGTTTATAGGGATTTGGTTGGTTACAGGATTTCATCATGAGCTGACATTGGTTAGAGAACCATTGGAAAACAAGCTGGGAGTACTGGACAGCTGTTTCGTCGTAGTTTGGGACTCTTCATCAGTACGCACCCACACCACGGGGTTCGAACTCAGGACCTTCTGGTTACAAGGCGAGCTCGTATACCATTAAGCCACTGGGTCCCGATCCAATGGCCCATGAATTCTAACTTTTGCCAATTCATGACATAACGCGATCCCTAGCCAATGTCTTCGGCAAGTGTTTGTCCTCACACCTGCTGAAGAGTCCCAAACTAGGACGAAACAGCTGTCCAGTACTCCCAGCTTGTTTTCCAATGGTTCTCTAACAAATGTCAGCTCATGATGAAATCCTGTAACTGATGTGTTATTATGTGAAGTGATATTGTTAGCTTTATTAGCTTTTCTCAAGTGGATATGTGACTCAGTTGTGTGGGAACTTGACTACCAACCACTGGTTCACGATCCTAAACACATCCACATAACGATGTTTTAGGCAGCCAGATAGTATCAGTAACCCTCACACAATAGGTGTGGTTCATTGTTGACTGCATGGAAATCCAAATGGTTGCTGAGTTGAGTGAAGCAGTAAGCTTACCTCAGTTAATCATAAATCATGCGAGATAGTACCAACTGATTTCAGCAATAATTATGATTTAAATTCTTAATTACTAATCAGTATCAATTAGTATGTGCGATATTCACTTCTTAATATTTCGAGTATTTCTTTAGAATTTCATCATTTCGTGTAATTTTCTTCCACAACTGGATTCTTAAAAAATACTTTTATTGTTTTCTTATTTCTTGCTATTCGACTAGGCCAGAAATCTTCTCCGTTAACATTTCAAGTGATACCTCGAAAAAGGATGAGAATTACATCTCAGAAGATATGCTGCCTTCATGCTCCGATACTTCAGATTCTGAGGATGAATTTACCAATAATGGTAAAAATACTGGTTAAAAATACACAATTTTGTATACATTCGTGTTTTTTATTTGAAATAGTGAAGTGCGATACACTTTCAGATGGTAGACAACTAGGGTATGCTACTGTAATTTTGTTCGGTTTTTAGTTTTATTTATTTGGCGTAGAAAGAAGTCAGTGATTGATTTCACAGGTTTTTAATAAATATAACATTTAGTTAAGTGGGACATTAACGTCATGGGAGTGGTATGCACACCTTTGTGTTTTTGTTGTTTATTCCTTAAGCAACCACCGGTAGGTACCAAAAATGGGTTCAATGAAGTGCCATTCTGACAAATGTAGCTATCGTAGCAGATGATTTTCATGCATATGTATCAAGGCTAATTTAAATGAAACCTTTAGCTGTCTATTTCAAGGAACTGGTAATGACCACAGCTTTAATTACATAGTAATCTGGGTCTATCTTAAAACATTTAAGGCTTACAAGTAATGTTTTAGTTCTTCTTAAGATCTGATACTTGACTTTTTACTTCTTATCATCAGGCTTCATGATGCATTCACTATTAACTTAACTAAAAATGATAAAGATTATATTTTACTATTATTATTCTCTTAGGTTCCGTGTGCAATATAGGACTTCAGCCTCACATTTCCATTTCACCCTGTTCTCTACCATAATTTTCAGTCGACTCCACGTTTGCCCATAAGCTTTCGTTTCATCGTCACATGACCTCCTGTATGTCACCCTAAGACATCAAACTTGTCCTTTTCTATTTGGGTTTATTTGGAGGGCCTGGTGCGTGATCACCTAAAGGTCTTCTCAAAGCATGTGCAAAACGTCTTCCTTTCCATCTGTGTATTTATTGGGCATCATGTTATTGGTTGATTCGGCACCAGAGTTCTATGTTACTTATCATTTCTGGCCTTAGAAAGGTTCTAATATACCAGAGAACCTATCGGTGAAACATTAGAAGTGGAGGTAATATTGTTTTTTTTGTTGACAAATTGTCTGTCTGTTTTCGACATAGAACTTTGCACAAATGTGCGGAAGTTCAAGTCGCCACACTCCGTGTAGCACGCAAAGCAAGAGAAGAAAGTACAAGAAAGGCATAATAGAGACAGAAAACAGAGGTGTGAGAGAGAAAAGGAATAGTAGGAACGAAGAACAAAACAGTTTGATTGGAGATCATAAGTCACAAGGAGTGGATGCATCTGCGCCACTGAGAACGATTTTGAGCCATGTCACCAATTGTTTCCAACCATAGATTTTTACCGTCCCGAGGACCCCAGCCTGGAAGTCTACACCTTCCTACGTGGCTTAGGCCAACTGTTGTGGATTTCATTGACTGGTGCCAAGTTTTTGTTTGACCGCCGCTAGCTTTTTTCCAGCCTGACCCTATATCCGCTAACATTGCTCGTCGAGGGAGGCGATGACTAGGCTGGAATACGTAACACAAATCCTAACCATCTCAGTCTTTGTAACTTCACGACTTCGTCGATTGATTTCCCCTGTTTACCTTGAACTCGACGCCTAACCTCAATGTTGCTCACCTTACTATGCCACTTTACACGGGAAATAGAGCGCAGGCACCTATGATCAAAGACAGCTAGCTGGTCTTTTCATGTATTCCACTCTCAGTGGCCAGGTCTCACAGCTGGCCATAAAGGAGGACGGAGCGGAGTGATGAGCAGTACACCCGCCCTTTGGTCGATAGTCGAACATCTCGTCTACGCCAGAGACGGCGTAAACTAACAAATGCGAAACGAGCCCCTTGTATTCGTGCTGAGATTTCGTCAGAGATCAGCCCGTTGGGGCTGATGGTACTTCCCAAATAAGTGAAGCGGTCAACGTGCTCTACCACTTCACTTCCTATTTTTAAACTAGGCGTCGATGTAGTCCAGTCCTGTAACATCATCTTGCATTTGGCGGGAGCGAGTCGCATGCCAAACATTCGTAGATTGCGGCTCAGTGTGTTTATAAGACTCTGCATTTCGTCAGCGTCTTCGCCTAGAAGGACCATATCGTCTGCATATTCTAAGTCAACGAGATTATTTCCCGGTAGCAAGTCAATCCCTGAGTCGCTGAGTCGAATGCTGCCTTTAAGTCAAGAAATATAATGACTGTTGGACGCCGGTAGGAATTCCTATGTACTAGAATCTGTCGGAGGGTGAAGATATGATCAATACACCCTCTTCCTGGTCTAAAGCCTGCCTGGCTCTCTCGTGTTTGTGCCTCCCGAGCACCACTCAGTCTACGCATGATTATTGAGCCTAGGACTTTAGATACTATATTAGTCAAGCTAATCCCTCTGTGATTATCACAGGAAGACTTGTCTCCCTTCTTGTATAACAAATTGTCTACGTCATGATTAGCAGCAGAAATTTAGCTGTACATTTAAGATTATGGCAGTAAAAGTAAACTTGTGATAAAGGTGACACTTCATTCGATTCCATGAATCATTTCTAGTAATGACTGAATATATAGAAGAAACACTGAACCAAATTCAAACTGTTTGTCAGATGCTACTAACCGATGTGATTTTTGTCCGAAATAGGTATAAATCTTCGAAATGGGAATTACAGGAAAAAAAGAGATCTTAAGGGAATTTTCAATAGAGGTAATTTAGAATTGTGACTTAAATTCACTGGTTATTACCTCATGTTATTACTTGGGGTGGCAGACAGTGAGGTCATTGTTTTACTGAATCAGAGATCCTTTACTAGTATTCATTTTGCCACACTTCATTGAGCACACAAAGTTAGAGATAATGAAGAAACTATAATAAACGGAAATGTTCTGAAGAAAGAATGATTCAATGGGAAATAATATGGATTTAGTAAAGATGGGAGATCATAAAGAGTCAGTGTATCTGAGTGATTAAAAACTGTTTCGAACCATATTACCAACAGTCTTCATCTTCTAGTTTGTAGCATTTAAATAACTTTACACAAACAGACCTACCTGGCACAGACCGGTGTTGAAAGTTTATGAATTAATGCTCTCTTGTTCTTGGGTCGTTCGTAACTCTTTCCCAACTTATCCTAGACAGTTTTGAGCTTACGAGAGGCAAATATGTGGAGAATTCAGAGGTTAGATGTAGAATTTAGGCCCTTCTAAATGAAGAAGCTGGTAAAAGGAAATCAGCTAAACACCTTAAGAAAAATTCTGAATATGTTTAGCACGCGATTCAGCGCCATCAAATTTAGAGTAATACATCTGCGTGATATCCAGCTATCGATCAAGGGACGTCTGTGCAACAGTTCTCCCCGTGCTGCTTTACATTTATGAATAGACGGTATGCAAAGATTGACGACTTCACGTTATAAGTGTATTTGTCCAACCCCTCACGTTAGACGAGTCGACATTTTCACAGGCTCTTATAAATGAAGTGAGTTTATTCTCTGAAAAGAATCTCTTCACTGAACTGTTTTGTTCTTATCTCCAATTCTGGATGAGTATTTTTCGCAGTCAGTTTGTGACTTCATTTGTATCAAAATATGATTGAGATCTTGCACGAAGACTAAGCAATCGATTGGTGTGTTCATTGAAAAGGTGTAGGAGTTTGAAATAATTCAACTGTGACAAGTCTATGCTCGTTTCAACTACATACATCGATGGAAGTTACACTGCTACACGTAAATATTTACGGGAGATATTCTTTGGTTTGCATTTTTGAGAAATGTTTAAATTAGTGCATAGATCGTGTTTATTTCGCCTTTTTACTTGAAAACCGCCATTACACTTGAATGACACTTAATTACTGATTGATTTCAGCTGTCTAACAAAAAAGCAGATGCTAAGAAACAAATTACAGTAACATGACAGAAGTGAGAAAATATAGTGACTTTTTGATTTACCACTGAAGCTTTCGGATGCATTTTTCTTCTCCACGATGTGTATCTCTGATGCTCACATTGTCATGCCGAAGACTGATAGAGTTTGACTCTAGTTCATGAATTCTTCTGTTTGTGAACGTTCAGCTTATTTAGTTTACCATTGTACAGCACACTGATTGGTTACAAAGAAGTAATCAGTATCATATCATCTGGTCTTCAACGCCTACGAGATTCTACTAGTCAATTCCTCTAGGAGATTCTCCAACAAGATGCACTTCGATTTGATGATGGGTGAATGCAATTTTCGTGATATCCTTATGAATTTTAACGAAATATTCATAATCATACAATAAAGGGACTGTTAGGACGGACAAGTTTATCTATTAGTCAAGAAGTTGTGCTTTATGCATGTACAGACATGAAAGCCTTATTGAAAAGTTTTGATGCGTTCATTTATGGCTTAATTTTCTGATGTCATACAACCAATCAGAATTGTATTATGTATAGCTTAGATTTCTGAGGGTTTATAAATGTAATATACCATGTATTTTGTCTAATAAAAGGTGTTGTCATTCCGTTCGTTGTTTTTCCCCAGCCTGACTTTTGTGTCTATCTCAGTGTGGGAGATATTTTCATTTGGTTATAGTGTTGTGTTCTGGAGGTACACTTAAACCAAGTTAGTCGAACCCGAAAACCAATATCACTCCGTCATAACAAGAAGGACAGCATATATTTATTCATGAAATCAGATTACTTAGAAGACTTTTTAAAAATACAGGAACCAATGAACAAACATTTTATTTTATCGAAATTTTATAATTTTGCTTATGATCAAATATATTTGCAAATGAATTTTAAAAATTTACTTTTGTTTAAGAATATTTTGTCATGAAATTAGCAGGTTGAAACTTTATAGCTCTTGTGTAATTTCTTTGTCAGGACGTCAGTTGTAAACTAACAATTTAAAAATTTAATCGACTTAGGGAAGCTGGTTCTAAATTAAAAGGCGTGCAATTAAGAGTCACTCTTTTCAGCGGTATTAACCAGGTAGAAACTGAAATAAAATTCAATAGATAAATTCCGTGGCCAGTGTAATTGATGACATTGAGGGAAACTCAACTAAAATTGAAGGAGAGTCAAGTTGAGATCAGTGTCATAAGGAGTAGAAATGTAATAGCTGAGGAGAGACAAACAATATAACTATAAAAAGTTAGATCCATCGTAGACTCAGTGACTGGACAAACTTCTGTGTTCAGGGTCCTCAATTTAATTTGGATTTGTAGTGGACTAAACGGCTAATTTCGTTTATACACGAAATAAAGAGGACAAAACAAATAAAAACACATATGTATATAGAAGGGTATTTAGTCCACATGAATTAATGTAAAATGTAGTTATTTGAAAAGTTATATTGGTCCCAAAATACTCAGATATAGACGTACGGAATGGTAGGGATGAAATAGTCCTTTCCTTGGGTATACAGATGCCCACTGACTTAAGAGATGCCAAATGTCGGAGGGCACTTGCGGAGAGAAAAGTAGGTTGGAGCAAAAGATCCCAATTTGGATGTACTGATCAGGTACGAGTCAGAGTTGGTTGGTAGATGTGGAAAGTGAGAAGCTGGGGAGGGAAGAATGTGGTCCGTATTAAGCGCGGAGCCAGGTAGTGTCCTTGTTCAGTGTCACGTAACAACCATGATTTTCCGTAAATTCATTGTTTTTGCTATTTTACGGCGGACGTATAATTTGATATTTTCCGGCCACCACACATTGCCATCGCTTTTTTGGTTTGAAGAAGTTTGTTTTGCACTGCTTTGGCGAGAATTCTGAGTACTCTAAAGTTAGTTTGCTGGTTCACTTGATGTCTAGAGTCGACCGGGAGTTCCAGAATAGAGCTGCGGGAGATCTATTTTCGCCTTCATAAAACTCTGATGGTAATTGTTCGATGATAAGTTTGAACATCTAAGGCTGAGTACGGTCGACGTATCTAGTTTTACTCAATTACCATTAAAATTTAGTGCATATATGAGATTGTGCAGCCTCCGAAAGATTTCTCTGAAAAGAGTAACTCTTTGCTGTAAGTCTTTTCTTTTATATGACTCAGCGGGGATTTTAAAATTAGTTATAAATGGTTTTTGTTGTGGTTTTGTCTTATGAACTGGTTGGTTTACTTGTGAATCGTTCACTGCTCTTTTCTGAGCAGTGCTTACTTCAATGCGAAATGAGTTGTGACATATTCTTTATGAATGACATATCTGTCTGTACTGATAATCTTGACTATGACTGACTGTCTTCAGAGGTAGTTGTATCTTCTTTGTGACAGATACTGACTAACTTTCATTAAACAATATTCACAAGTTGATTCAGTTATTAACTGTCTAGTGATTTACTTTCAAGTTCACCTTCAATCTCATCTATCTAACTCAATGATAAATCTGTCAACGATGACATACCTCGAATGACAAATTATTTACTCCCTTGCAGAAGATGAAATAAAGATTTAACGTAACACTTTTTATTTTCTACCAAATTAATTACCTTTTAATAGAGTTGAATATTGTCTGAAATAATATTCAAAGTCTCCTGCTTAGTAATGATTTCATTTGAGTGCAAAGGTTATCTTATAAGTCAGTGAATATAAGAACAAAGTTTTAAAATCCAGACATTAGGTCATCATCAATATAGTCTGAAAAACGCAAAATTTGATGACAAATATAGACAGTGAGAATGAATTGTTTTACTATTAACAAACTAGTGCCAATGCTTAACTTCTGCCTTCAGAATTGATTAACACTGTGAAGAAAAGTTCAATCTTATTTGCTTTTTCTTTATTATTACTTACCAAGTATCTGGTTGTTTGACTTCATATGCGATGCTTTGTTAAACAGTAAGACTGTAGGCGTTAATTGGATTTTCCGACAATAAGATGAGTAAAGTTTCTAGGTTGATGACATGAACCGAAATTGAATATGGAATCAGTATTGAACGAACTGTGACACATTTGAAGTTATTAGGAATAGTAGCTACTTTCTTTTAATAGGTCATAAAATTTCCTAAATCGAATCATGAAATCTGATCGATATTTGTGAAGAACTCTGAAAAATCAAAAGGTAATGGACGGTCATTCCGTACCAGTTTTAACAATTTCATCAAGAATCAAATCGCAGGTTGTTAGTGAATTCAGTTTCCAGTAAGTTTTAGCTTCCATCAACTTAAAGTAGTATTGTGCCACCATCATTCAGAGTTATCGACGACTGTTCAAACTTTGACTTAGCTAATCTTCGTGGTGGTAGCTTCTCATTAGAACTTCGGAAAATTCTTCTAAAAAGTAGTGCCCAATTTAATGGTAGGACCTGTTACCATTGCGAGCACTTCTCATCAGATTCTAATTGTATTATAACATTTACTTTGATATCTGAAAGTTATGCTACCCATAATATGAGACGATTGCAATTAAGCATCTAAAATGTTGAATTGTCTATGTTGAGAACATATCTACTATGGGATAAGTGATACTAATTTACTGTGTGATTGACTCATGTGCTTACAGTATTGTATCACAGTCTTCAATCTTTAATGTATTCATTGCACTTACTTTTTAAGTATAAAATAAACGGGTTGGTTTATAAGAAACTTTTAATCATTTCTGGCTCATTTTCGCTTGTGTAAAACCAGTAGATTTAATCAACAGTGAAGAGTAATTGTTTACTAAAATTGGATTGTGGCTGACAAACACTTCATTGTTATTCTACACACCGATAATTCGAAATCAAATTTTGTTTTGAGTTCTGTTTTTGAAACATAACTATACGATTTGCTCTTCAGCTTTTGTTATTATTATTCATCTAAGTAGAACATTGGGTTTCAGCGGTACATCTTTATTACACTCAGTTCTTTGTCATCACTTCCAGCCAGCTCGACGACTCCCCATAAGCTTTAATTTCCTCTTCGTATAATCTTCTTCATATTAACTCAGACCCATGCCTAATTCATCGCTACACACTCGCATCTCACTCGATATCCTGTCTGGCGCGTAATATCACTTGAATGCTCCCTCAGTGTATATTCGATCCATCTCCATTTCCTTCTTTTTATCCGTTGGGCGTTATGTTGCTGTTGTCTGGTTCACCGTTAGCAAAGTTTTTCTTTTTTGTTTATTATTTCAGGCCATCTGATTTTCAGTATCCGGAGGAGGCAGGTGGTGATTAGAGTTTGCCGCAGACAGCTGGCTACGTGCCAACTTTGGACCTAGGTTTGGTGCTAGTTAGCACTCATGAGTGTGGCGTATCTACAACCTCGAAGGAACTCATGTCCCTTATGAGACCACCCCATTGATGCAGTCAGAGACGATACTACTGAGCTATTCGGGCTGGCGACCGACCTCCAGTCGTTTGCCTCAAACCATCTAACATCAGCAATTTGAAGTGCATCCTGATGGTGGGCTACCTAGAGTGGTGACCACACTGCAAACCTGACTGATAGAATTCAGTCTACACCAAATGAAGGACTAGACACGTGACATTAGTTACTACCTGGTGTCCAATCAGTGAATCCATTACAGTCCTATAGGAGTTCAATCGTGAGGCCGAATATCTCAGTGGTAGCGCCTCTGACTGTTGCACTAGGTGGGGTGGGTTTGAATCTCAGAAGAGGCATGAGTCCCTTCAAGATAGTAGATACGTCTTGCTGATGAGTGCCAACAAACACGTAATTTAGATCCAATGCCAATTGCCTTCAACCATCTAATATGACTGTTGGCTTTATAACTTGGCACTAAGAAATGATAAAGTGTGCTAGATGATATATGAAACCTGATTACGGCATTAACTGAGACCATTCAGTGAACCAATGAAAACCAGAGAATACTGGACAACTCCTTTGTTCTAGTTTAGAACACTTCAGCAGTCCATACCTATGACACCACCAGGAGACACAAAGAATCTAGAACAGATATGGATCACATCAAGCTGTCATGCTTTGAAACAACCCACAAAATAAAAGTGAACATGAATTCCCTTTGATGACAGAAAGAGAATAATTCTTCAGTAAACAAACATGAATTTAAGAGAAAGAATGATGAAATAAAAACAAATCACAATGGTTAATATTTATAAAATGACTGGAAGAGAAACATTCTCAGCATTATGAAGAACTTGTAGCCATAACACTAAAAGTTTCTAGTTACTGATTACTTAACATTTCAATGACCCTATAAAGGTAACCAAACACTGGACATCTTTCGGAATTAAGTATTTTTTTTTAAAAGTACATTTCCAACATCAGTTGCCTTAGGTGTTAGAATTAATCTATAAGAAACCTGGATCACATGATATCGAAGCGATAAACTTTTGAAGAACTTTTACCAAAATATGTATCTGTTTGCAATGAATAAAGTGTAGTGATTTTAGTCATTATTTATTGTTATCGTTGGCTCTCATTCTCTAACTGTATTTTTGTTTTGTTTGTTTTTCTATGAATTTGTTGATTACCTATAGTCTGTTGAGAGTTTGGATTTAACTGTTCTTATAATAAAACACGCTTCTTTAAACTTCGTTTGTGTCTTTTGATTTTAATTTATAGGCATTGATAAAAAACGACGTTTGGAGGGTTAAGTAGTGTAACAAAATATCGGGATTACTTGTACACCGTTGAAGTCGGATGCATCCGGATGCAAACTACTTTTTTTTACTAGTAGTTCAACGCACACTGACTGTAGATTTGTTACTATAGTATTCGCTTTACCAGTGTGTTGCTAGTTCAGTGGTAGAATGTTTGTCAATCACTCATGAGATTCGAATTCCATTTCACTTAAGAACAATGCTTAGTTTACTAAACCGTTGTGAGCCAGGAAAATGGAAAAGTTGGATTCGAGGCTAGAGACCTCATGCTGTAAAAAACAACAACACTACTGATAGTGAAACTCCAAAGCCTGTAGCCCCATTCTCAATTTTAATAATTCAGCCAGTATATTTTCACATCACTGTATTGTCACTAAGTAAGGAATGTCAGACTCCTTTAGATTCGAGATCCATAGGCGCCATAACTACATCTGTACACCCTTTCAAATTTAACGATCTATATTCATGACTTGCTTTCAAGAAACTCTATTTTATGGCCAGTCACACAACGTTGCAGAATACAGTATTTGGCTATTTTCGCCAGATTGTGTCACTGAAGAGGTCCGAAAAATCGAAATAAATCCCAATCCAATGGTTCCCTATTGTGTCCTAAACCAGGTCACAAAAATCGCCTCATTATCGAATCGAAATTCCACTAATGAATTACTGAGTGGAAGAGGTAAACTCCTTTGCAGCTGGAAAGACATATGTACAACTTCTTAAGAGGTAGGAAGGTAAAGACTACAGTTTCCTACCAACTGTGTCTGTATCAAGTATCACAGTGTCAGTATTCGGTGACTATAAGGTAGATATAGATAACCTAGTTGAAATTGCTGACGGAGTTTACGGAAGAACATTTTTTGCAGGTTACAAATGTCAATCGACCACCGCACGCAGGTATGGTGACTCTTGAATGCGAAATGGACATAATGAAACTGATGTTATAAGCTTGCTGATTCCACAGCTGGTCGAGCAGTTGCTCACGCACTGTTTAAGTCTGCATTGTTTGTACTCGTATCCTCACAGATTTGGCAAGCATCTATGTAGTATCCAGTGGACCATGATTTTGGAAAACAAAAAACCCGGTAGTCATTCACGACTGATGTCCCGTATTCATCCATCCTGCATTTTTATTATTCTCTTGGATTCCTAGTGCAGCATAGGGCTTCAGTAGCGCACCTCCGTTTCACCCTCTTCTCTACAGTCCTCTTTAGTTAGCTCCATGACTTTCCATAAGCTATTATCTCCTCCCGACACCGCCTCTTTTATGACACCCTTGGTTGCTCAATTCATCGTTCCGGATTCAGGTTACACTCGGAAGTCCAGAACATGGTGTCACTCAACAGTGTCTTCAGCATGTGTCCGACCCATCCCCATTCCTTCCTGTATACGAATTGGGCAGTGTATTACTGACTGGGTTGTTCCCAGAGTGATATGTTACTTATCCTTTTTGATCACTAATTTTCAGTATCTGCATTGCTGGTAACAAAGCCGGGATGCGATTACTATTTCATACAGGAGCAGAGATAAGCATAATGTCACCAATACTCAAACATAAAAAATATTGTATCACATTCTGTTAGCAGGGAACATTTTGACGGTTAGCATTTGTAACGTTAGAGTTGACTTCTGATGATACTTTCAAATGCGAATGTATGACTGGATTTATGCTTCCCGATTGTTGATGTACATTTTTCACAGCTCTTCAGATTACTGACTGATGAAAATCTCCATAAACTCCTCAAAGCTTACTACGGCTAATTGATCTCAGTCACTGTTACTTCGTGTACTTCCATGAACCTTATTATAGGATCCAGAATAAATTCATTCTATACTAAATGAATATAATTTTCCCATAAGTTAATAAAAAAAACACCGAAGTATTCAGAAAGGAAAGTGAAAGATGTTAACATGTATCGCATTGTGAAACTCAGCCCACCGATTGCTTTGATACCATACCACTGAAGTGAAATCAAGTAAGTATCGAAGGAATGCGAATTTTTCTTGGAATGATAGCTGCATGAATAAAACTGCGCTTCTACAAGCGTAGAGGATGGAATAACTGTTCAGACACCTTTGTTAAACTTCTAATTTTCCCTAGAATAGCTATGATTATAAGCTAATAAACACTGACTGCAAGTCTTTCAGACAAATTTGCGATTTAAATTCTATGTCAAGTGACAGTATGCTAATGTGTAGGTTACTTTATTGTAGATGCTTGAAGTTTGCTTTACCGTCTTAAGATGCTTAGTGTGTAATTACTTCCTATTACGTAATGAACGATAAAATTCTAAACTTTTAAAATCAAATTCGCATTTGAAATTCATACATTTCGAGGAAGTAACATTTAATCCCTTTCCTTCGGAAAGCAAAATTATTAAAGTGACAATATTTAACCTGCTTAGTGCTATAAATTGTAATCATAAAAGCAAGAATAAATGCGCAAAACTGTACACTACTGATTGACCGATTCGCTCGTTTCGGACCGAGCTTATCAGCGGTGTACCTACTATGACTCAACTCAGATAGCCAAATCAGTTCAAACCAAGCATTTATGCTTGGTTTCATGATTACCATATATGCTATCAAGCAGACCGCATATTGTCACTTGAATAATTTTGCTTTCCAAATGAAAGAGATTAAATTTTACCATATCGAACGGTGTAATTTGCAAATTGTGAATTCTATTCAAAGTGTTACTGGCTTGCCTAAGTTACTAACCAGAAATCGTGTGGTTTGAACTGATTCAAAATTCTGGGTTGAATCACACCGAGCAAACTGATGGTGAATTTGGCCGCAAACGAGTGGAACGGTCACCCAGTCTTTAGACCACTCCGACCTGACTAGCAAGCATTACTGATTGATGTGAGAGGTATACAGTTACTCATCCAAATCACTAAGTAGTATACGGTTTCACTGATTGAAACGGTTTATTATTTACTCCTCGGAAACTTATATGGAGAGTAGAAATCCACCGATAATGTGGGTGGTATTATACTGTAATGCATTGTTATGGAGTAGGAAGGTATCAGACATAACGGCGTACTGAGCACGATAAAACTGAAAGAAAAACTTGTTGAGCTTAGATTATGATTTCACCAGTCATTCTTTTGAACAATGAAGGTAAACTTCACGGGCAAACTGATTATTTGAAAACTTCAATTACTAAAGGCCCTTATGTTGGTATATGACTGTTATGGCATATAGATACTTCCATTCATATTTGTTCTTGCATATATGCATACAATGCTTATGCAATCAGTAGCTCAGTTGACATAATCTACTTCCTAATGAGTGTCTACATAAGCGTATATGTTTATCTAAGTGTCGAAACGTCGAAAAGGTGGAAGCTGTTTGGAATAATAATAATCATTATCAGTGAAGACGTAATCGGTATAAAAAAGGTGTTAGCGTTCAAATTTCACTTCAGTGACATGTACATATATATATGGTAAAATGTCTGAAAGTAGTATTTGTGGTCCATTGAATCGGGACACAGTGACTGAATGGTTAACGAGCTCACTTTTGACCCTAAGATCCTTGGTCTGAATTGCGGTGGGCGCATACTGTGAAGAGTCCCAAACTGGGAAAAAAAATCTATCCACCATTTTCTAGTTTCCCAATATTTCTCTAGCTAGTGACCAAGCCTATAACTAATCAAATCCCCGATAACCAACTCCCGACAAAAGTAAACACCAGTTATATTTCAGTACTTGTTTAATTGTCTTTTAACCAAATAACTAACTAACTGGCTAATTATATGACTTAATAAAATATCACCAACAGAAAAATATTTCAAAAAATTAAACAATTACCTGAGCTGCTCTTAAAGCAGTTCTACGGGATATAATTTTGCCTAGTTTTCTAGCATGATATCCAACTAAACCAATGACAAAACAAAGTGACACAGCAAATAAACTAGATAATGCCACCAATAAGTATTGATTAGCACTTTTTTGAGAAGATATATTCCCCCATAGACCTATCGTTCCATTCAATGCAGATGTGTCATCACGTTGACATATTGTATTTGTATCAGCCATATATATAAGCGAACAAAAGTGTATATTACCATTACAAATGATTTTATGTTCATTCAGCTTGTTTGATATGTTCTGAAACCAAAGCGAAGAGAGAAAAGAAGAATTTATTATTTTTTTTAATGAATTTACAGAACTTGAGTGGAAAAATCTGAAAGTGGTATTAGTGTCATGTTGCTTGTTTGATAATGGTAGTAAGAGTAGTGTGGTGGGTGCTACTGATAAGATTTATAAGTAGTATACAGATGCAGATTGAAACAAGGTGGCCGGCTAGAATTAAAAGCAACATTTTACGTCAATGACTACATAGGTAGAAGGGTTTATCTTTCAAATCTGTAACTAGTTGTAATGTGAACATGAAATGACCTTGTTGGACAACTTTTCTTCTTATTTTTATAACCTTGGGCCAATTGCCGACCAATCAGAAAAATGTACTGTCTTCTGACATAACCAAATTTTAATAGGACTGAAAATGTATATATATGATGTGTTTTTCTTTTACAGAGGTTCGTTACCAATTTTTTTACCTTACAGTAGCAATGAAACTGAGGACTTATACTTAGTCATATTTGTGACAAATTAATACATACATCCTAGGGCAAATTAAATCAGACACTCAAACATCTGAATTCTACTGTTGGTCACTACACGATACAAGACGTCAATCAAAAAATTGAAGCAATATTACTACATGCATTCAAAGTTGATATACTGACAGAAACCAATAAATTATTCATGAATTTTGACTTTCAACAACAGAATATAAAAAGTTATGATAAACAAACTGAAGAGTGCATCATATGTAAGAAACTAACCATACATTCATATATATATATATAATCAGCAGTTGTTGTTGATAACTCTATTTAGTTGACTGGTTTACTGGTAATTCAAAAGCCATTAGCTCAAATTCTATGATGAGTTAGGTATTTTGATTCCACCTTCAGCCAGTGTTAACTTAAAACCAGTCAGAAGATCAAAATTATCTCAGGTAATCTAAACAACAAAAGAACCGAGTTCTAACTGATTAAATAACCATCAGACTTTACACTACTGCTTAAGGTTCATCTTTCAAAGAAGAAACCAAATAAGAAGAAAAACCAGTTAATATTATAATTATTTACAAGTATTGGATATGTAGGGGTTTTGTCTGATTGGTTGGAGGATTTCATTATGAGCTTATATCAGTTAGAGAACCACTGAAAAATCTGGGAGTAGTGGACAGTTGTTTTGTCCTAGCTTGGGACTCTCGATCAGTACACACCCGCGTGGGTTCGAACCCAGGACTTTCTAGTTACATGGCTGGCGAGCTCGTAGACCATTATCATCAATTCAGTAACTAAATTGTTGAAAAAATTAAATCCAATCATTTATAAGAATTATAATTGATCATTCGAATTTATAATAATGAAAAGTATGATGATATAATAATAATTTAATATAATACAAGTAGATTATGCATTTTGAATTTATATCTTTGTATTTAGACTCTGATGGCTTCATTAACTCTGAATTTTTAGATACAGTGAACTAAAGTCGGTAAATGAAAGAGTGATTTTTAAAGTGCTTAGCTATTTTTCCTTTAATAAATTTTAGTTGGCTACATATTCCTATGAAACTTCTCAAGAACTGAAAAGCTTGAAGAATCAGAAGATGATATATTGATTTTCTGCCAAAAACAGGCATTTTGAATCAGAGTATACCGAAAGTAAAAGTTGGAAACGTTGACATAAATTAGTTATTTGAACTCAGTCAATTATACATTTGAGTTGTATAGTCGCAGCTATTACTCTGATTAACTCAGACAAATATAAGATGATGCCACAGAAATGTTATACATCTACTCTCATTTTGAAGATAATAAGTGAAATGATTGAATACTCTGATCAATTCAGTTGTCCCAGAAGTTTCATCAATCCTAATCGACTGATTTTTAACAAAATCTCAGTGACGAAAGGAAAGTCCCATTGTGCAGTTGCTGATCTACTTTATATTTGATACCGCAGAGATATATGGTCAGCCTTGGAACAGACCATTGGACACTTCTACAGTTCACTTCTTCTTGCTCTAAGTTCCCATGAATTATCATGCATTAAAGTGTTTTATGCAAACCCATATGCATAATGACATGCATACCTTCCTGGATGACCACCATCATCCGAAGTGACAGTGCACTAGAATAGAGTTTAGAAGTGCACACATCAGAATATGGCATGAATCAATTAGATATGGTTTGATTTGATTCTTTCATATCAAATGATTGATCTGTTGTTTCATCTCTTACATTTCTGACATTTGGCTGTCTTCTGTCGTTGTTATTGAAATTGTTTTAGTCTAGCCGTTTATGATGATTAAAGTTTACATGTGTAAAATTTACCAGGAAAAAGAACTCTATTTAGGTGATGGTGACATTTATCAATCACTGAAAATAAACAAACTCAAACATATACTACTTGTAAGTAGGCGTACAAATAAGTTAGTCTACATTTTGTCCACTGTTTTGCTTTAGACTTGCTTTGTAGACTTTACTTCCTATAAAGTTGGGATGAAAGGTATTCTGTCTGCTGATGACAATCATACTTATAAGTAATGAAAGCAGCTATGTCTCAAAAAAACAGAGATGATTCGACAAAGTGAATAAAATGTGTGTTAATCGAAGGTCATCGCGGATAGCCATTGATGGAGGAATGTTTATAACCCTTGAATATATGACTACACCAATTCACCACAATCTTCTTAGAAAATTACAAATGAAATTGATGCAAACGCTCTACCATAGCAGAAACAAATACGTCACGGAGAATCCGAAATTAACGTGGAGGATTTGTAGCACAATTAGATGTTTTAGGGTTTTGTTGTGTTCTCTGGGCTGGGTGGTTTAACTGAAAGACTTTTATTGTCATTCCTGGCAATATCTTTACCACTAACGTTGATAAGAAGCGGGATTTCGAATTCTCCAAAATTGGTATAACTGTACCCAACCCCCCATAAAACTTTCACTGTTAATGGTTGCTTTCATTGATTTTTTTATTAGTATGGATAGCGCATTAACTGAATGTATTTGCGTAGAAAAAGCATAGTTACAGGTTTGATCATGAATTGACATCATTTAGAGAACCATTGGGAAATCAAAGAGTGCTGGGCAGCTGTTTCATATCAGTTTGGAAATCTTTAGCAGTACTCATCCACCTGAGCTTGAACTAAGGACCTTCCGGTTGTAAGGTGCTCTCGTTGACCATTCAGTCACCTGATTCAACGGCCCATGTCATAGGAGAGTAACTGTTTAATCTTTTATCTTGTCATGATCTTAATTCACTGTCTACAATTTGAATTTCATTAAGCTTAATTCATTCACTATCATCGTCTTACTTTTGGTTTTTGCTTTTTTCTTCAGTGTAGTAATATATACACGCCCAATATGCACACAAGTGAATGCTATGCATCGGGAGGGTAAAAACCAATGGTTGGAAACAATTGGTGATATGGCTCAAAATCGTTCTCAATGGCCGGTGTAGATGCATCCACTCCTTGTGACTTATGATTTCCAATGAAACTATATTGTTCTTCGTTATTACTATTCCTTTGTTTCACACCTCTGTTTACTGTCTCTATTATGCATTTCTTCTATTTTCTTCTCTTTCTTTGTGTGCTACAAAGAGGGAGTATGGCGACTCGAACAGGCGCACATATGTGCAAAGTTCTATGTCGAAAGCAGACAGACAGATACATAACATATTACAAAATAATATTTTACTCCATTTTCAAATTTCAGAATTCTTCGTGTACTACTACTACTACTACTGTTTCAGTAACAGTTAGTTATTCTATGTTATTAGTCATGATAAACTATTTCTCAGTTACTGTGTTTATAATGAAACTATTTCATTTATTTTATAATTCCTTTGCTTTTTAGTGGTGTATACTGGGTTTCAAGTTTTCAAGTTTTAGGTGTAATGCTGTTATTTTTATTATGGGTTTGGTTTTCCGGCTCCTCGTCCAACTTTCCAAGCTTATTTCCAGCTAATAAACCAGATAATTTTCAAGAGTGCATTGGTGGAGAATAGTACCCGATACTCCAAAGCAAATTGAGAGCATTCTACCATTGAAACACCGATACACTTTCGATTGTAGATATACTTTATCAATGAATCCCAGCATCAAATGAGCCCTCCTATCGGCTGTTTCCTAATAAATTCTGCAGGTACATGCAGCTGAAAAGTTCCAAATAAGACGAACCGCGCATCCTTGATTCTACTGCTAGTCACCATTTACCAATTCAATTGAAGAAATCCTTGCTGAATAACGGAATGGTCATATTCTTAAAGGTCTAGGATGGAAATAACACACCAAAATGATAAAATATTCAAATACTTCAATGGTATTAAGGTATAATTATAGTCTGATGCATTTCAGTGACTTACAGTTACGCTGAATAAATCTAACCCAAATTCAGTGAGTGCTGAAATTGTAATGATATGTGTCATTTATTTATCCAACGATTTTTACGCAAACTAGTCGGGTTCACATATAGAAATATGACTGAACTAACGATGAAGAAACTTACTGAGAAGTGTATAAGTTCGGGTTGCCGCACACCGAAAATCACGCATAAGAGTATAGAGGAGAAACATGAAGGGACCTAAATGGATAGAACTCTACGGTGAAGAGAATAGATTAGTGAAGATGAGTAACGACTTTTTCAATCCCCAAGGTCAAAGGGAATGAATCATCCACATCAGTGAGAATGATTCTGAGCAAAGTCACTAATAGTCTCCGATTGCATCATGAAGAACCTATAAATGTAGTTTCCACTGCACAAAAACAGTTTAAGCCATCAGTCGAAAAACTCATGGATTAATGCTGTATTTGGATCTGACCTTTTCTATTTCTTTTAATTTCAGGTTAGTTGAGACTGGCATTGCTTTTCAAAGAAGCCAGTGAATCAGCATGCGTATTACGTGTTCAAGCCATCTCAATAGAGGTAACTTTACAATCTCAACGATTGATCTCATCCTACCTAATACTGTAAGCATAACATAATTAGTATTCACAATGTGATACCATCTAACATAAGAGATAGAACGTAAATACACAAGGTAAAAGACTACTAACCTCTCCCTGTCTTCCACTTTCCACGGCCATCTGTGACAATTTTATAGAAGGACAATGCGAACTGATTGAATAATAACGCCTGATCAAGAGACAATATACTTTGGTAAAAGCAAAACGAGTCTTTATTTAACCTAGGTTAGTCAGTACATTAGGACTGATACCGATTCCCAGACAAGTGAGGTGATCAAGGCTCACCTATTGCAATCCGTATCCTTGGACTAGGGGTCTGCAACGTCATCTCACATCTGACAGAGGAGAATCGCCGGATCTATCAAGGGGTAAAGGCGAATACTACTATTAGATCAACGAATATGATCGATGTTGGACACGGGTCAATATGTCAATATTGCAATAAAGAGTGAAGATATTTTCAATGCAACGTTATCACCATGCAGCCTGTAAAATTCCTATGGATCGTCATTAAATTATACTATTCGTAGTATATCTCCGTCTATTGTTATTTTATTATATTTAGTTTACCTACTTTTATTTCTATTTTTCCAAAATGTGGCGACTTGACCCTCTCTCTCTCTCTCTCTCTCTCTCTCTATATATATATATATATATATATATATATATATATATATATATAATGTCCCTTGGGTTCCGAATCGAACATAGCGCTTCAACACCATGTTGTCACTGCACTCGACTTTCTACCATCACTGTCGTCTAGCTCGAAAAATATCCACAAACTTTCATTTCCTACTGATACGATCTCCGCCACATTACCCTTGGACACTTACAAAACTCACCACTTCTAATTTCAATTTCACTCAAGGGCGTGCCTAGTGTGTGTTGTTACTTGAAGGTCTTCTCAGTAATTATCCGGCTGATCTCCATTTTACTTCTGCGCATTTTTAGGTAAAAGATTTTGACTGGTAAGCTTCTAGAGTTTCTTGTTGTTTATCCTATCCAAACAGACACCTGGTCTTCAATATAGAGTTATGGGAACAGTTACTGGTGAACATTTGCAGCAGCGTATAGAAAACACTTTTGTTGACGTGTGCATCAAGTTTTGAAGTATACAGAAGGCCTGAGTAAATAGTCTTAAGAATCCAGCTCTTCTTCCTTGTGCTTAATGTGCTGTAGACCTCCTTATTGATTATTATCTTGGTTTCTTGAGGTTCTTCTAGCTGTCTACAGCATTCTCATTCGTGGTCGAAAAGACGCTGTCCAAGTGAGTATGATCTTATATACTGCCATGAAACCACTCAGTTATGCAAGAAATCAATACAAAGACAAATTTATATCCTAGAGGTATAGTTTGGTCTTAATATTATATTGTGGTGAGAGCAGGCTGCTAGCCAATTGGTAGACATTAATCTACGTCAATGTCTATATCGCTGATATTGGCCGTGAGAAAATATAAACAAAACTGATTCAACAACCAATCACAGCAGACTTAACGTGGGCAAATACCATTCGCAGATATACGGCTTAACTTTCTGAGAAACCAGTCACAAGCAGTACAGAATAACCTTGAGCAAGAAAAAACCGATCAGAAGACTGTGTTTGTCTGCTTGAATAAGCTATCATAATGTACATGAAATATGTATAAATAGGTGCTGATTTCCTTAATAAACGATTTGTTGCCTGGCCCTTGACTTCTGTTGTTACAATATAACTGGACTTGATTGAACTGCATATACTAAAGAGCATAGGTTAACTCACCTTATCCTTAACATTTATCATTATTGTTATGTAGGAATTCGTCGTTTTCAAATCAATAACCGTAAACTGATGCCTTCCAATTATTTCACTATGATACGCTGCATGAAATATTACATATAATATTTTAGATTGACCGTTTAATACATTAAAATATAATTCATGATTTAATTTATTCTCATTAGTAAATTTATGAAAATGATAATCTAATATTAGTTGTCGATACTCATTTAATTTAAAGTTGACTGGAACTGTTCTTGTTGAATATTTCCATAAGATTTGAAATCTATCATCAACCATATCTAAATTAAGTGCTGTTAAATTTACAATTAATACAAAATTAATATTTTTAACACTTGACTTTAATTCAATATAGTGATCAGTTAAATCAGAGGAATCTTCTGAATTTGTATAACCAAACATTGGAAAATATAGTGAGATTGTATGTGGTTCTAATGAATTGTCTATATCACCTGATAAATAGCCTAAATTTTGACTACCATAAGTGATGAATAACAGCCATGTTCGAAGCCACTGAGCAATATCTGAGGTAAAAGCAGTCATATTTTTTTCTATTTAGTTGAAAATATACGTCCACTTTAGATATCCACGGTAGTAAGTTAAAATAAAAAGTAACTTGTTAAATAAGTCAAGTATCAACATTAAACAGAGGAAGTAATCGATTCCTGTTCGATAATGTAAAGTCCATTTGAATAAAGTATATGTTACATAGATTTATTTATTTTGTGTTTAATGTAAATGATGAAATTAATGTCTAAGATTACTTATTAAAACACAAACATAGGACAGGATGAACATCGAGAGAAAAATGACCCCAAAGCACAACATAAAAGTAATATAGGGAGGGGAAAGAAATAAGGGAGTTAAAAAATAATAATAACATTTATCATAAACATTCTTATAATTTTTTGGATTATTATTCTGAAACCAGTCTTGGAATCTTCTGCTCTAAGCATAAAATAACAAAATCCAGATTTTCAATACTTAATGAAAATCACTACTGCTATAAAGTTCAGAGATTTGACGTGTCACGAAAAACATTTCAAACTGGCTCTAGACTTTTATCAAAAGTTGCCCCCTTCGCTGGCTGCATACTGAGGATCTGATGACCCTCTAGAACGGGTAAGTAACAAAACAACAAACGATTTACAAACCTACCTGTTCCTCGACAAATATGCAGAAGGAAATGGAGAGGGATTAGATATACTCACATCAGACAGTCAAGTGACACCACATGCCATGCAATCACTCGAGTGGAAGGTGAATGGAAAACGACGAGTTGGCCGTGTCTGTGAGGATAACATTGAGGATATTGTGTGAATAGGAGTTGAGAGCTTATGGCCAGTAGTAGAGCCAGCTAAAGACGACAGAAGAGGACAAGACAAGTGGTCCCCCACTAAAATTCGCTCTATATTTTGCTCTATACTGAAGATCAGATGGCCGGGCTGGAAAGAATCACCAACAAGAAACTATGGGAACAAACAAAACAAGAACCAATCGCCCAACAAATATGCAGGAGAAAGTGGAGATGGATCGGACACCCGCTAAGGAGACCGCTGAGTGACATCTCGCGCGAGTCAGGCCATTGCTCGAGTGGAACCAGGCCGAAAAGGAAGCGGCGAGTGGGACGTGTCCAAGGGTGACATGGAGGAGATCGTGTGAAGAGGAGTTGAAAGAATATGGATTAACATGGAAGCAGGCGAAAAGTATAGCAGAAGACAGATGAAAATGGAGACGTGCAGTTGAAGCCCAAGGGAGCAATAATATTTCATACATTTATTCCCCTTAATGAATTTGAACAAAGCAAGAACTACAGTTTTAGCAGAATAAAATGGTACCATCTTTTATTTCGTTGCCTTCTCGTCAGATGCTTACATAGCAATAATAATAATAATTTTAGTGGTTAGTATGTTAGCTACTGAATTCCACCCTGAGTTATGTACTGAAGTATATTGAGCTAGTAAGTTACATGGCTGTTTCCCATATTTTCCCGACGAAATTGTTATATAACAGCAGAGCATTCCTGTGATATCACAAAGGAAGCAGGCCGTCAAGTGGTAGCTCAGCAGGAATCTTTGATTTTTGTGTGGGTCTGAAGGTGAGAGGGTAGATGTCATTTGAAACATTAGGGGTGGTTGCGCAACCAGCTAAAAAGGAATGAAGAGAAGATAGTGAAATGTTGATGTTCTATAGAAGTCTCATGTCCCTTTAGGAACTCGAAGACGACAACAATAATATTATGATAACAGGTGCTAAGCCAGAACAACTATCCATCATCATGAATTACCAAATCATGAGTTGATCACCTTATCACATTTTTTAGTCACTTATAGTTCCAGTAAATAATGAAGAGCAATGAATTCCCTAGGACGGTATCATAAACACATATTTTTTCCAGCAAAGCTAGTGTTTGGCGCTGACTTCATTTACTGAAATTTAGTCTCCTCTTTGTTTGAACAGGTTCAGTAACACCTAAATATTATTTACGCAGTATCGTCACGCTATTTGCTTGGAAAGTCCGAGTTTCTCAAGTGTAGAAAATATATGCATGACAGTCAGTCTAAGAATGTGACAGAAGTATATGATACACATATCGATGTTTGGCTCTATACCATTTGAAATTTTACACACCAGACTTCCTCTGCTGCCACGAAAGCTGGATGAATACGCTGAATTTTCAACTATCTCTTGTGCTTTACGCGCGAGGATTGTTGCGATCGAATGCCGCCACCAATCTCGCTACAGTAGATCGCAAAGCATACAGACATTAACTGCCAACTAATTCAATATTGTTTGAGAAGCCTATGTCTTTTCATATTGCGGGACAACATCTTCCTCAAATTCAAGATCGATTATTCTTTCTCTGAACAGTCACTCACCTTCTTCAGAGTTGTCTCCAAAATGTTTTTGCTCCCAGAGTTTAATTTTTTTATTCCTTTGCGTTCCAGTTGGAACATGGGGTTTCAAGATTCAGCTTTTAAGTTTCTGTAGCAGTAGTGTTTTTATGGAGTGGGTTTACTAGACTTACTCCTGACCTTACCTCTTTCGCCGATCTAACCACTGGCTGAGCGAGGTTTAGGAGTGAGTGCGTCTGCTGAGGATCGAGTGCTGGACAACCTAGGTGGTTGGTGAGTGTTCTACTACTAAACCACTGATATACTTAGAGTTTAATACGAGTATAGAAACTGGACAACTCTTAAGACTTCAAACTGTAGTGACAGATGGTTCCTAGGGTATTTTATACAGAGTGGTAATTCCAGATCCAAATAGTGCTAAATGAAAATTAGTTCTAACATAAAGGAACATAACAATTGATGGTCTATAGTACTCATGACAGTCTTCCAATTGATGATCGGTTGATTTGTGATGAAGGCCAATAATTTTATGCGAGAAGTATCACACATACATTACACAGACTCTGCTTAAAGAAATAAGTATACAGGAAACCTCATCCCAGTATGACAGAACTCTTTCAGTATTACTCCCTTTTAGATAAGATTTTATTTTGATAAATCACACAATGTTGTACAGTAATATTAACTGATGACGTTTCGAGCACAAATTATTGTTCATAATCATATCCCTCTCAGTATTCCATATATATATATATATATATGCGTCGGAAGCACACAGGTTAGGACTCTCAACGACCATGCACATGGTCCGGGACTCAATCCCCTGCCAATGCACACCTGATATCAGTGGTTGGCCTGCAAAAGTTGGGCTACCAATATCACATTGCTGAAAATTCCGTACTTGTACCAAAAATACTGTGTGGAATCAAACCATAATCAGAAATAAGATTTTAAAAAAATGTATTAACTTGAAGAAAATGAGTATGTGAAAGGGTCTAGGTTATCTGGATTCAATGTCTTGTAGTGCTCAGGTAACTAAAATTTCCTACATCTGTCTGTCTGTTTTCGACATAGAACTTGCACAAATGTGCGGAAGTTCAAGTCGCCACATTCCGTGTAGCACGCGAAGCAAGAGAAGAAAGTACAAGAAAAGCATAATAGAAACAGTGAGGAGAGGTGTGAGACAAAGGAGTAATAAAGAAATACAAAACAATTTCATTGAAGATCATAAGTCACAGGGAGTGGATGCATCTGCGCCACTGAGAACGATTTTGAGCCATGTCACCAATTGTTTCCAACCATAGATTTTTACCGTCCCGAGGACCCCAGCCTGGAAGTCTACACCTTCCTACGTGGCTAAGACCAACTGTTGTGGATTTCATTGACTGATGCCAAGTTTTTGTTTGACCGCCGCTAGCTTTTTTCCAGCCTGACCCTATATCCGCTAACATAGCTCGCCGAGGGAGGCGATGACTTGGCATACGTAACACATGTCCTAACCATCTCAGTCGATGTAGCTTCACGACTTCGTCGATTGATTTCCCCTGTTTACCTAGAACTCTACGCCTAACCTCCATGTCGCTCACCTTATTATGCCAATTTACACGGGAAATAGAACGCAGGCACCTATGATCAATTTCCTACATACCATAGGTCTATTAGAAAGATGAGTTTGCCTGATGCTGCGAGACTTCAATTTATGGTAATTTGAATGAATTGATATATTGGATATTGTTAGGCTTTTTATTAGGTACTGAAATGAAAACCAGAATACACTTTTACAGTGTAATAAAGAATAATAATCCCATGTCAGATACATAGGTTCTTTAAGGTTCCTTTGACCTTAATCTGTAAGCAAACAAATCATGTAACCTATCGTGAGCAATAACCTTAAAAATATAGTTCAACTAATCATTGTTTCTGGTGTACACATAAGTGTCGCTGCATAAATAGGCAGAAATTGGTGACTTACAGTATTTTTGATAAAAATCTATAACTATATATTTAGGACTGTTCATAGCATAGCGAACCAATTTATCCATGATTATATAATCCCTCAAACCTGCGAAATATCTAATTCCATATTAGTTTGTTTTTGGATATATCATATTACAGTGAAACAGTACTATTTTCTGGAAGAAGTTTTGAACACAATTTATTATTCATTATTATTAGTATTCCTTGCAGTTGTGAGTGGAACATAGAGATTCAACAGCACATCTACATTTTATCCTCTTCTCCAAAGCTCCCTTCAGCTGGCTGTACGATCGACCATAGACTCTCTCCTCATGTAACAACAGAAGACAAGGGCCAGGCAACAGATCGTTTTATTATGAAAATCAACACGTATTTATATATATTTCACATACATTATTATAGCTTATGCAAGTAGACAAGTGCAGTCATCTGATTGGTTGTTTATCAGAAGTTAGGCAGACAAACGCAGGCTTCTGATTGGTTGTTTCGGGATTCCTCGACAAATAGAGTTCTCTATCTGCGAATCATATTTTGCCACGTTAACTTTGCTGTGATTGGTTGTTAAATCCGCCTTGCTCATATTTTCTCACGGCCTGCTCTCACCACACTCACATCATCTCCATCATGTCACCCTCAGATACACGGCCAACTCGTTGTCTCCCATTTGGGTTCCCTTCGGATGTCATTTGACGATCTCCTCAGAATGTGTCC